ATTATTATCTTTATTAATGAATAAATATGGTATATACATACTTCTTGTACTGATATTAAGTATGATCTTATCAATGGAATGTTGTCTGATTTTTGGAACATTTGGACAACTCTTGTATGATCAATTCTTGGAGTTAATGCACTAAGAAGATCATTAAGTAAAAGAGGATGCTCATCAAGATAGAATTTCAAAGCCTATGAAAAATGAAAATAAAAGGTTGATGATAAATTAAAGCATGTTTTTAATATATATACATATGTATATAAACATGTAATTTAAATAAATTGAGATTAATACCTTATAGTAAATTTCAATATTGCTAACTTTAACAATTATGTCTTTGAAGCGTGAATGTTCCCAAGCATCAGCTGCATGTTGAATCATTGCAAGAGAAGCATTATCAAATTCATCATAATGTTCATATAAGAAAACCAATTCACTCCATAGATGAGCTTCATCACAAGCTCTAATTACTTTAGGAATATTAAGTCGTGACCAGAAGATTCGTAAATGCTCATATGTTTTCTCAGGCCGATATTTAGTATACAAAATGCCCAATTCAGTAAACATTCCCATGTGTGCTCTTTCAAGACCAGATCCTGCTTCTAAAAGTGATAATAATTCATCTATATAGCCATTATTCTCATATAATCTAGTCACACTCTAAATAGCAACAATATCATTACTATTGTTTATTTTTTTTTATTAAATAAAAGTTATATAATATAACTTACTTGTAATTCTTCTGCATGGACAACGAGATTAAGACCACAAATATGTGCCAAACGGAATTCTTTATGTTGAACACAAGCACCATGTACATCTTTCCAAACCCTATTTAATTAATTAATAATATTATATATAAATCAACCAACAATCAATCTAAATCAAGCAAATTTAAATTCATAAAAACAAATAAATGAATAATTACTTTGTATTACTGGCTTTTCTAGCACCGTCTACAGCTGCTTGATATTCACCCAAATGAACAAGTGTAGATGCTAATCTTGCCCAATTTGAAATGCTTTGGAATAGGATTTTGGCTGATTCATAGAGACCATCTTCATAGCAACGTTCACCAACAATTTGAATTTGTGCAACATTTGGTGTGTTCAAAAATTCCTCGAGATCATGGAATTTTTCAGTTTTCGCATATGCAAAAAGAAGTTCATTATCAACTGTAGGTTCACGTAATTTCTTACGGCACATTTGCAAATATCTTACAAGATCTTCATGTTTTTCAGCACGTGATGCTATACTGATAACTTCTGAAAAATTACTAGGGTCGTCAGCACGAATATAAGAGTCTGGAAAAAAAAATTTTTTTTTTAAAGGGACATGTTAGTATTAAATAAAAAAAAAAATAATCATTAACATTTTTTTTTTGAAATAAAACAAACCAATTGAATCTTTAATTCTTAATCCAGTAATTTGTGCTTTAGCCAATCTACTCCAAACTTCGGGAGTGTCACATTTTTCTGCAAATTCAGCTGCGCGGTCAAGACTAGCAATATGTTCAACCAACACACTTATAGCATTTGCGTGATCATTATGTTTTTTGTAGATGGCGAATGCTTCTTCATATAAATTAGTTTTTATAGCAATATCTGCAACTTCGGGCGCATCAAAGTTGTTGAGTTTATTAACAAAATCCATCACTTTAGCTTTATCGGCCTTTATATCAAATAAAAATAGATATAGATGTGTGTGTGTTAATATAGATATTTATAGACAAAGCATTTATGGAATAATGATTAATTACCCTAATAGCTGTAAGAATGAGTAAATTTTGAAGAGTTTTTTGATCACTAAATGCAGTATTTTCAAAAATAAGTTTTTCTAATAATCCAATAAGCTCCAATGGTAAATCTGCTGCCATAAAAGCTTTCACTGTGACAGAAACATCTTCTGGATCGGTAGTTTCTGGTAAAGCTACAGCATTGACCTTTTTTCCAAAAAAAAGACCATATATATATATGTATATTATTAATTAATAAAAGGATTATATTTTTTTCAAATAAATATTAAAATCATATTATAATATCTACACTATACCTGTTCAATTAAAGTCCTACGATGCATATTATTACTATTTAATACATGTGCCCAAAGCTGAGGATCGCGACGCTTTACCAAATAACGAGCTTGATGTTTAAACATAGTATTATCATTGGTTATCTTAACAAGTTCCAAATCACATTGTCCGCGTTGATAAGCAATAAAAGCAAGATGGGGATCACGTTTTTCACAATATTTTCCAACAACCATCGAATCATAATACTATTAAAAAGATAAATACATATTGTTATCATTAATATTAACAATCATATTTGTAATTAAAAATTAGTCTAAACAATGATATTTGATAAAAACGAAATCTAAATATACATACTGGATTGTCTCTAAGGAAACTTTCTGGGTCAGTGTTGCTATCAATACGAATTTTAGCCACAGCATTATAAAGTTCAGGGTCTTGACTTCCTTCTTGGACACGTAATTCCAACCATGTCACAAAATATGATTCAACAAGCAACATCATTTCTTCTTGACGCTTTAAAAGACAATAAACCAGAACATGGGCATCTTCAAACACGTTTACTTGAAATGAATTTATTGCATGCTCCTCAAGTGGCAGATGCTATTCTTGGCAATAATATGTTTACTCATTATGACAAACCTACAATTGCGCAATTATGTGAAAAATCTGGATTACTTCAAAAGGTATGCATGGTGATTTATTTATTGTTACTATTATAATATTGTTGTATAATAATAATTATTATTATTAAAATCATTTCTTGTTTTTATTAAAAAAAAAATCTTGACATTATTACCTTTTAAGAATAAATAAATATTTTTTTTGTATAATATGTTTTATAATATATGGTAAAAGCCTTGAATTGAAAAAATTCGGTACATATTGAAATCCTTCAAAATCAATGATCTTCTTTGATATTTTTGCCCAAGCCTTTTAACTAACAAAGAGTATATTCGAACAAAACATCATTGTCCTACAAGTGATTTTTAATCACTTGCATTATAACTAGTTTTTTCTATTTTAAATCAATTGAAAATACAATGTGGTGCAGCATAAAAAAGATCATCATTCAATTTTATCACTATGTGATAAATGAATGTCCATTATGCTGTTCCCGCGACTATTAAAAAACTATTTCTTACTGCCAAATTTAGATATGATAGTCAATATCTGGTCTAAATTTAGTAATAATTTTCCTAAATTTAGAGATGATCATAGTGGACAAATTCCTCATGAGCATAGTAAAGTACATGTTTTAAAAAAGAATAGAACTCTACAACAAATAAATTGTTTGATAAAATCTCTCTATTACATTAAAACTAAAGACATATTCTATCAACTAATAGAGCCGTTTTTTTAAAAGGTAGGACAGAAAGTGACTTCTATACTTTTAAAATTTGCCCAAAAATTTAGGAGGTCTTTAGACCAAGCCAACTATAGTGAGTGACACTTGACCCCCTGTAGATCCGCAATGTCCTGCAACTGATATATAATGTTTTCAGGGTGCTGTCCATTATACATTATTATTATATAAAATTTAACTAATAAAATCTGTTATAGAAAGATCCATTATAGAGAGAGTAAATTGTACATAGGACTTACCTGATAATAATAAATAGTAGCTGACATTTTTCTTAAGGCATAGTACACACAAATAAACAGGCTCATTTTTTTACTAAACAAATCAATGTTGTGTATTAGTGAGAAAATGCTTGTTGAAATGATTCCTGTATCATTCTAAAATATCACATTGGACCAATTGTTATTGCGAGTGTGCAATCTGAGTTTCCTATTTAATAGGTTATTTATAGCTCAACACACAGCCTCCTTGCTGACTTATGGTTGATTCTATTGTTTGACACACAGCCTACTCACTGACTTACAGTCAATTTCCTTTATTTATATATATGACACACAGCCTACTTGCTGACTTATGGTCAAAAATTAATAAAAATATAACTTTTATCTTTTCAGATAAAAGGGTCCCTAGGTTCTATACAGTGACTTCCATAATTATTGCACCACTTGACTTAAAATTTTCAAATTGTAAAATTTTACAATGTAGAAATCATACAATCAATAAATTTATATCAATTAGAAATTTATGACTTCTTCAATAATATATTTAAATTTGACTGATGGTTTATTTGTGTTTTTTCGAGAAATTTCCATTCAAGTGTTTTTTTTGTGGTGCAATACTTTTGGCAACCGTAAATGGAAATGATTAGACAATGTTTACATGACGTTTATATAAAGTAACTATATAACAAATGTACGTTACATTCCTATTTGATCCACTTTTCTTTTTATGCTCAACTATGAAAGCAATTACACTTGAACAAAGAGCTCGTATTTACACTCTTATTCAAGAAGGATACTCTAGTCATGAGATTGCATTTCGCGAAAAAATTAGTCATTCCACTGTTGTAAGAATAAAACAAAGAAAGGAAAAAACAGGAAGTTTTGACGTTATACCAAAACCAGGACGCCCACGCATACTTTCTTGGGGTGTACGATGGACTAATGTAGATCAAAACTAATTGACATCATATATAAAATTTACTAATTAACTTTTTTTC